CGCTGCTTGCAGAAGTCGCACAGATAAGGTTTCTCACCAGTATGTGTCCTAATGTGTTCAACAAGGCTACTTTTATGAGAAAAACGCTGCTTGCAGAAGTCGCACACATAGGGTTTCTCGCCTGTGTGGGTTCTGATGTGCACCGTCAAGCTTCCTTTTGTAGTAAAACTCTGCTCACACGTTTCACATTTGAATGGCCTCTCGCCGGTGTGTACACGTAGATGACTTTCCAGTTTAGTCTTCGAAATCAACGTTTTGCTACAGTATCTACACTTTAGGCCCGCAACGGGGAGATTACGCGACTCTCTCTCTATCGAGTTCTTAGTGCTTGAAGTCGCTTCACATTTGCCGCCGTGAGTCTGATCGCTCTGTCCTGTTTTGCCATGCAGGTGGGTCTGGTCGACGTCATCGCCAAGCACGTCACTGTCGTTGTCATTGGACGCCAGCTCGGCGCGCAGAGTGTGTTGAGGGTGCACAGCGTCGGCGACGACCACCAGAGCCTCGGCGAGGTTGCCAGAGTTGCCCTCCTGGTGGCCGCGGAGTGAGTAGGTCCCGGTGACCACCAGCCCCAGCTGCTCGTCCAGGACATCGTCAGGATCATCGCCGTGCTCGACACCACACTGCTCGGCGTCGATCCCTGGGTGTTGCTTCTCGTTGGCCACCTCTCGTCCTGGTGGATTGTCGCCGTGCTCTACACCGCACGGCTCGTCCTCCATCTCCGTGTCCCTCCAGTCGGCGGCCTCTCGTCCTGGTGGTGTCCCCGGCCGCGCACCTGTCGACATTAACACCACCGCGTTAGAGCTCGCCGGGACCGCCAGCACCGAGGACCGCCCCACCACCGACACGACGTGCACGTGCAGGACGGGGGCGCCGCTGCTCAGCCCGGGGAGGAGCCGCGGCGGGGGCTGGGCCTGCAGCAGAGACACGCGTCAGGAGCTGGGCGAGTGTGTCGGAGCCAGCGCGAGCAGGGAGAAGTCCGCGTCCGCAGCCTCGAGAACGGGAAGCACAAGCAGCGCCTGCAACAGAGAGACTTGTAAGGTGTGCGCTAGAGAATTAAGTATAAGTTTCAAAAACTACTTCGTGATGTCACGTATCATTCTGTTTTAGTTTTTCAGGTAAGAGGAAGCCGGGAGTACCGCGACTAATATGAGGCAAAAGGAAAATTAAAACAGCACAACTTAGTTCAGATTTTGGCCAACGATATCCATTTTATTAATAAGAAAATTAACAAAGCAAAACGCGGTTTGGAGTGAAAAGTTTTCATTACAATCATTAGCTAGTAATTCAAGGCTCAGAAAAACACAAAGACTAGTATTTAGAGATATTTGCAGATACGTATGCTACCTTTCGGAAAACAACACGTACAAAACTTTGACGAAAACAAGGAAGTTTGTAAATTAATCTACCGTTCGATTTTTTGTGTGTTGGGTTCGGACGTGTCTCCCGCGATGACTTGAATGAGCAAAACATTTTTCACACTGATCACACTTGTATGGCTTTTCACCAGTATGTGTCCTGATGTGCTGAACAAGGGCACTTCTATCAGCAAAACGCTGCTTGCAGAAGTCGCACCGAAAAGGTTTCTCACCAGTGTGCGTCCTAATGTGTGTAATAAGATTTTGTCTCAAAGAAAAACGCTTCTGGCAGATTTCACACTGATATGGTTTCTCACCCGTGTGGGTTCTGACGTGGACCTTCAAGTTTTCTTTTTTCTTAAAACTCTGCTCACACGTTTCACATTTGAACGGCCTCTCATGGGTGTGTTTACGCACATGCGTTCCCAGTTGAGACTTTGAAATGAAAGTGCTGCCGCGGTATTTACCCTTAGGGCTCGCAACGAGGTGTCTGCGCGACACTCCCTTTATCGCCCTCCTGTTTCTAGGACTCTTGCTACTCTCGCCGCTATTGGTCTCATCGATACGTCCATGGTGCGCCTTCACAGCGCCGTCGCTGAGCACGTCACTGTCGTCGGCATTGGACGCCAGATTGACGCGCGGAGGGTGTTGGGGGTGCACTGTGTCGGCGAAGACCTCTAGAGCCCTGGCGAGGTCCTCCGAGTCCTCCTCGCGGCGGCCGCGAAGCGAGTAGCTTCCGGTGACCACCAGCCCCAGCTGCTCGTCCCGGACATCGGCGGGGTCATCGCCGTGCTCGACACCATACTGCTCGGCGTCGATCCCCGGTTGCTGCTTCTCGTTGGCCACCTCTCGTCCTGGTGGGTCATCACCGTGCTCGACACCGCACGGCTCGTCCTTGATCTCCGGATCCCTCCAGTCGGCCCCCTCTCGTACTGGCGAAGTCCCCAGCCGCGCACCTGCCGACAGGAACAGCACCGCGTTAGAGCTCGCCGGGACCGCTAGCACCGAAAGCCGCCCCACCACCGACCGACACGGCGTGCACGTGCAGGACGGGAGAGCCGCTGCTCAGCCCGGGGAGGGGGCGGGGGCTGGGCCTACTGCAACAGGGTCAGGAGTGTCAGAGCCGTTGCGCCCCGCGTCAACGGCGTTAGCGGGCGGAGGACTGGGAGCGCAGGCAGGGCCTGCAACAGAGAGACTAGTCAGGTGTGCGGCCGAGATAGATAGGAGGTATGGTCTCAAATACTACTTTGGGAAGCTACGCATTCCCCCGTTACAGTCCTCAGAACAAGTAGGCTGTCAGGCGAACAAAATACGGCCGGCAGAAATTGTAAATGGCGCAAGAAGGTTGTTCATAAGTTGGTCACCGACATAAGGTCATTGAAAAAAAAAAAAACAATGCCAAAAGTTGTGGGGAATAAAGTTTAATTCCTAATCGCATTGTACTATTTTCAAGATTACAAAGATTCAAACAACACAACTTAACAATTAGCATTTATGTTACCCGTCATAAATCTGGTAAACTAAAATGTTTGGTAATTAATCTTCTACTTGCTTTTTGTGTGATGGGTTTAGACGTGTCTCTCGCGAGTACCTTGCTGAGCAAAACATTTCTCATACTGATCACACTTGTACGGCTTCTCTCCAGTATGTGTCCTGATGTGCTGAACAAGGGCACTTTTATCAGGAAAACGTTGCTTGCAGAAGTCACACCGATAAGGCTTCTAACGAGTATGTGTCCTAATGTGTGCAACAAGGTCACATTTTTGAGGAAAACGCTGCTTGCAGAAGTCGCACTGATAAGGTTTTTCACCTGTGTGTTTCCTAATGTGTCTAGCAAGATGATGACTTAGAGAAAATCGCTGCATGCAGAAGTCGCACACATAGGGTTTCTCGCCTGTGTGGGATCTGATGTGCCCCGTCAGGTTTCCTCTTGTAGCAAAACTGTGCTCACACGTTTCACATTTAAATGGCCTCTCGCCTGTGTGGGTTCTGATGTGCCCCCTCAAGTTTGATTTTGAAGCAAAACTCTGCTCACACGT